TGTAAATATACACATTAATACCAAATACATCTAAGGGCTCGTTTGGTAGTTAAAATAGAAAGGACATGATATGTTAGGCTATTATATCCTGCTATTATTCATTGTTTGGTAAATCAACAGGATATGATAAGCTTAAGTTGTTGGCTCATTTTATTCTGCTTATAGTAGGATAAACTATCCTACTGGGGGACTCGAGTTATAAAGGAACATGATATGATAACAAATGTCACATCCCTTTCTTTTCAAATATGGCCATATGTTTTTCTCATATAAATTTTGTTTGGCATGTGAGAGTCAGTCCTTGCCACCGACAAGCCGCCGCCATTGCTGGCCATCGGCCACCTCTATCCCCATGCACCAACCACCACCGCCACAACTAGCCACCACCACCATCACCGATTAGCCCTATAATTACATGCAACTTGCACCACCAGCGCTTCCGGCGCCACCACCACCACCACTTCCACCTGCCACCATTGCACCAACCACCACCACCGATGTCGTTCCCACTAGCTACCACCATTACCGTCATCAGCCACCACAATTGCCCTAGCGTCGCCTCCACCACCACTTTCACTGATCATCCCCACCTATCACCATCCAGGCAACATCTCATGTCACTGCCACCTCCAACCATCAGGCGCCAACCATCACTATCGCCACAACTACCATCATCCTTCCGCCATCACATTTATCACCGACCATTACTGGCGTCGTCACCACCTTTCATTGTCACCATCCCCCATAACTACCACCAACACTACCCACTGTCACTAGCCACCAGCCACTGATATTGACAAATAATTTTAAATAATTTTTAAAAATTTATATGGTGAGGGTGTATTTTTTTATTTTTAAATTTTTGTAAGTTATTTATGTATTTTAATATATTTAATTTAAAATTATGACTTTTAAATTTTTTGAATAATTTAAAATATAATTAATGTGTAAATAAATAAAAAACTGTTTAAAAATCAATGTTAAAAAACATATAAAATTATGTTTAAAAAGATATTTTGTTTATTTATATCATATCATGACACTATAGATTTGTCTCAAACACCGGATATGATAATATTATCTTATCATCAGATTGTTTATCTACTGCACATTAAACACATAATAAAATATGAGCTTATCAGCCCGATATCTTATCGTACTCTTATTTGGCACTCTTATCCTCTTTATTCCTATCATGTTCATGAAGGCAAAAAAATTTAATTATTGTATTTTAATTAAATAATTACGTATTTATTGCAGTTTTGGAAATAATTACGGATTTATTGCACAATGTGACGCCTTTTTTGGGCGTCACATGTGATGCCTCATTTAGGCGTCTCTCACCAAAGGGAAGACGCCCCATTGGGGTGTTGACACGTGTCATTTTTTTCCAAAAAAAATAATAATTTAATCATAAAAATTCTGAATGCTATAACTTTTGACTTGGGTATCCAATTCAGATAATTCGTTTTTTGATTCCACATAACTTTTCGAGATCTACGCAATGACATATTATTTGATATATTTTGTTTCTCACAAACATAATTTAAATTTAAATCAGGTAATCCTTCTTCCTTAGAGATTTAGAATATTTATTTAATTATTTTCTTTATTAATACAGTTTTTCAAATTGATTTTTGAGTTTAAATCACAAATCAAATCTTTATTTTGTTTTCCTTATTAATAATAATTGTTACTTTTAATTTAAATCACAAACCAAATTTTTTTTATAAAAAAAAGAAAAAATTTTATTTTTTAAATTAAATCACACATCAAATCTTGATTTATTTTTTATATTAAATCAAAAACTCAGAGACTTCATAAGCCATCATTAATTCCAGACCACGAATAATAACCCAGAAGCTTATAGCATTAATCATTAATTTCAAAAATAATATCCTTCTTCCTTAGAGATTTAGAATATTTATTTAATTGGAAAAAAAATTAATTTAATGTTTTTTAATAAAATAATTACACATTTATTACAGTTTTGGAAGTAATTACGGATCTATTTAAAAAATATTTTGTTTATTTCTACAGATTTTTCAAATTGTTTTTTTAGTTTAAATCACAAATCAAATCTTTATTTTGTTTTCCTTATTAATAATAATTTTTTATTTTTAATTTAAATCACGCACCAAATTTTTGTTATAATAAAAAAAATTATTATAAAAAAAATTAAATCACAAATCAAAATTTTATTTATTTTTTTATATTAAATCACAAACCCAGAACTCAGAGGCTTCTTGGTTTAACCGCTCTTATAATACCATTCTCACAAATTAAAATTGTGTTTGTGAGAAATAAAATATGTCAAATGAGATGTAATTGCGTAGATTTCGAAAAGTTATGTGGAATCAAAAAAAGAATTACCTGATTTAGATACTCGAGTCAAAAGTTATGGCCTTCAGAAGTTTTTTAATTAAATTAATTTTTTTTGAAAAAAATATGACACGTGTCAACACCTCATGAGAGACGCCACATTGGGGCGTCTTCCCTTAGGTGAGAGACGCCTAAATGAGGCGTCACCTGTTACGCCCAAAAAAGGCGTCACATTATGCAATAGATCCGTAATTATTTCCAAAATTACAACAAATGCGTAATTATTTAATTAAAATGCAATAATTAAATTTTTTTGCCTTTTCAAGAAACGAAACCTAAGGCATATGTGCATCAAAAATAAATCAACTGGTTCTCGTTTAATATCATTTATAATAGTTAATTTGTTTTTAATTCAAAAATCATAAAAAAAATTATAAGAGAAAACATGTTGGAAATATAATTTCTTTCTATATTTAGTGATTTTCACTTATAAACTCTCCTGCACGAACAAGCTTTTTGAAAAAAAAAAAAAGTGTGTCGGACACCGATACGCGATCAATGCTTTCTTATGTTGTAGGTAAGTAGTTACCACATGTTGTAGAAATAAAATCATAAGTGAGATCCACAGATAAAAGGAGAGAGAAAAAAGAGTGGTGAGACCCGATCTTTTTGTGTGTGTATAAAAGTTATTTATCTCATGTAAAATGAGATAAACATAACCCATAATTATAATAGTTAAATTATTTTTTTTCACTCAGTCAGCCACATTAGCCGACAATTTTTTGAGGAATGAAAAAATAAAATAGTTTTCATATTATAATTAGGGCTTTGTTAGTCTCATTTTACATAAGATAGGTAATAAAAAAAATTTATATGTAACTTCAGTGTACAAGAATTTTATATTAACATCCAATAAGATTTTGACTCATTATTGTTAATTTTTTATTTTAATTAATAAAAACATGATATGATACAATAGCAAATAATGATATATCAAATATTAACAAATGCCCAAATATTTTATACAAATATCAAATACCAAATACCAAATACCAATTAAAAGGATTTGATATTTGTTAATATTTTTGATACAATTTTTAAAAAAAGTTAAAAAAATGCAGAGAGACATACATCCAACATGCCGCATCTAAATTTTTTGATTTTTTAATTCAGGGAAAAACAAAAAATCTAAAAGGTTTTGGATATAAAAGTTGGCAAATGTTGGGTGTTGATTGTTAGAGAAAAGGAAATGGGGGACAGAAACAGAAAGCAAGCGACAAAAGAAAATTAAAATATCAAATCCTTTTAATTGGTATTTGACATTTGCAATTGCGGAGCCACACGTAGTAATGTAGGTGTGACTTCGGTTTAGGTTAAATTTTAATAAATTGTATTTAATATATATAATTATTTAATTAATTATAATTTGGCTCGAATTAAAATTATAATTTGGCCTCGGTTACAATTTGTAATTTGACCTTATGTAAAATTTAAACTATTTTTGGTGAAAGATTTGGGTAAGTTATATTAGATTACGTGTCTAATTTTTATTTGTATAAAAATATATATTAATTTTTAGTAAAATTAATAAATATTCAATAAAATTATAACTCTTCTTAATACTACTTGCATAGGTATTTTGTATTTAATATAATTTAAATATATTTAATATGAACTAATTAAAATTAAAAAAATAATATACATATAATTTTTTAGTCCGAACTCAAATTGGAACCTGTTTCCACCACTGGATATTTGTATAAAATATTTGAGCATTTGTTAATATTTGATATATCATTATTTGCTATTGTATCGTATCATGTTTTTATGGTTATGTTGCCTAGCTATTTAATATTCCTACTTTTATTATTTTTTTATCACCTTCGATCAAATTTAAATTAACGATTAAAAGAAAGAGAAATAATAAGGTGAGAAAAAGAAAGAAATAAAAACAAAAACAAAAAATTATTATATATGAGATTGTTGATTTAAATTGGATCAAACAGTGATAAAAAAAGTAATAAAGAAATTTAGTATCCTGATAGATTTGCAAAGCTAACGTGTCTGTCTCAATACGATCGATATCTACAACAACGCGTTGGCAATAGTATCCTGATAGATTTATTTAGGTCAAAATTAATAGTATCCTGATAGATTTATTTAGGTCAAAATTAATAGTATCCTGATAGATTTATTTAGGTAAAAATTAATAGTATCCTGATAGATTTATTTAGGTAAAAATTAATAGTATCCTGATAGATTTATTTAGGTCTAAATTAATAGTATCCTGATAGATTTATTTAGGTAAAAATTAATAGTATCCTGATAGATTTATTTAGGTAAAAATTAATAGTATCCTGATAGATTTATTTAGGTCTAAATTAATAGTATCCTGATAGATTTATTTAGGTCAAAATTTTGAAATATAGACCTACATAGGTCAAAAAGCCCAATACCGAATTCTAAAACAATTTTTATTAGAATATCCTGATAGATTTATTTAGGTCAAAATTTTGAAATATAGACCTACATAGGTCAAAAAGCCCAATACCGAATTCTAAAACAATTTTTATAAATTCTAATCGAACGGCACAGCACAGCACAGCACATGAATTCTTTGATTAAAATTTCAATCCCATACATTGGCTTAAACTGATTCTAGGGTTTCTGCACCAAAACTCTGCGTTTCATTGAATTTCATTGATTTTCAATGGGCAAAAAGAAAGCAAAGGATCCGCAACAAACCCCTCAAAGCAATGGACTCCGTTTCATCTCTTTTATTTTCAACACGCTCTTTGGCAACACGCTCTTTGCCACCGCTTCTCTATTTTCCGATTTCAACCCCTTTCGTAGAAAGCCTCAACAACATGCTTCGGTTTCTTACCCAACCATTCCCTCTCAAAGCCCTAACAATGGCGGCTCCGGGAGCCACGATTCCGGCGAAGATAAAAAGAGGAAGAGGAAGAATAACAAGGAGGAAAGACCCATTCTTGATTCGGATTCCGTAACTGAAGCTTCGGAGAAGAAGAGTAAACGCGGTTCCGATGAAAGGGAAGGGGAAGGGGAAGGGAAAGATCATAATTTGGGTACGCAAACAAAAAAGGGCGAGGTTGTAATCGAAGGTGAGGAGGGAAAGATGAAGGAGAAGAAGAGGAAAAGGGAAGAGCTTGAGAAAGAGTGGGAGGAGAAGAAGTATGGTGTGGTGGTGGAAGGAGAGGAAGATGAAAAGGAAAGGTTTGGGAATAAAACTCTTGAGAGCAAGAGGAAGATGATATATAACCCAGCTGATATGTTGGTTTCAAAGGAAGGTTATGATGACGAGGATAAGCTTTTGAGGACTATTTTAGTTGGGAATTTGCCTCTCAAGTTGAAAAAGAAGACTTTGTTGAAGGAGTTTAAGAAATTTGGTGAGGTTGAGTCTCTGGTGACTCGTTCTGTTCCAATACAAGATGTAGGTTTTCTTTTTGTTGAATGTTTGCTTTCGTTTGGTACTCTTTAAGGCTTCGATATATATTTTTTTTTTTTGGGTGCTAAATTTATGTTTGTTACTTTTCTTGATGAACCAGACCAAAAAACCTAGGAAGGGAGCCATCCATTCGAAGAAAATAAATGATTCCGCTGATAGGTAATGGGTCTGAATTGAACAATTATCGAATTGCAACTTCCTGTGATTATTGTTAATTGCTTGCAGAGAGAATGCTGTTATTTTTTATTTTTTTGTCATTTTAGTGTGATTTTATGGATTCAATATCAAGTAAGCCTGCTCGTTTTGGGCTTGGAGAAATTATTCTGCTTTGATTTATGCTTAGATTTTATATTTTCCAATGGTCTTAAGTGACTTGCAGACAGTCTGATAAGAATACATTCATTTTCATGCATAGGAAGCCTTTTTCAGGCATTTCTAATTGACAAATATTGTGTTTTGCAGTGTTCACGCATACATTGTTTTCAAGACAGAGGAATCTGCTCAGGCTTCTTTGTCCCACAACATGACTGTGGTATGCCCTTGTTCCTCTGAGTTGGGTTGGATCAAATATGGTGTTTGCTTTGTATTTTTGGTGAAGACTGCAGTTGACAGTTTTCTAATACTATTGTTTAATTATCTGACTGTAGGTTGAAGGAAATCACATTCGTGTTGATAGGGCTTGCCCACCCCGCAAGAAACATAAAGTGAAGATTGCTTCGCTTTATGATAACAAGAGAACTGTTTTTGTGGGCAACCTCCCATTTGATGTTAAGGTGTGTTTCCAATCAATGGATTTATTTTTGCGGTCACATAACCACATCATTTCTGTGTGTGTATTGTCTAATGGATCTCACGTATCTTTTTGTGTAGGATGAAGAACTATATCAGTTATTTTGTGGTATATCCAACCTGGAATCAAGTATAGAAGCTGTTAGAGTCATTAGAGATCCTCATCTTAATGTTGGAAAGGGTATTGCCTATGTGCTGTTTAAAACAAGGGTATGCTGCTTTGGTGCCAGATTAGTTATGCATTTTGATAAAATTTCTTACTTTGTGCTCTTTTACATTTTTAGCTCAAACATGTTATAATTCATCTTGTCATGTTTTTCCCTTTCGGTGGTAAAACTAAAGGGCTGTTTGTGGCTGATAAGCCCATGAAGACCTCGTTTTGTTACGTAGAAACCAACTTATTTGTGTGATTACTTTTAGAAATGCATGTTATCTATTTATGAAAAGATATATTTTGTGATATAAATATAATCTAGAACATTAGGATTGAAATGGGCGGTTGCTAGTGTAGGGTTTGTTTACTTTGGTGTAGATTGGCTGCTTCGTTTATTGTATTGTGTCTTTTTGTGTAACTAGGTACATGTTATTTTTGGAAGTTGCTTCTTTCATTCAGAATATAAGTGGTTAGAGACTGATATGTATAGGACTGAATTTCTGTAATGGTTGAGTGAAGCTGCATATCACACTTTTTAAGTCCACATGTGGGCTTGAAAATCTGATTCAGGTCCTGGGTACCAATGTCTGACTATTTCAGTCCACATTGTTGAAAACTCTCTCAGATTTGACAATACTTTACCTTTAGATTTAAGAATGATGCCTCTAGGACATTTTCTTATGATGAAGAAACCTTTTAAACTGCGAAATTAGTGATGGTGCACTTGCAGTGCATGGGCTGAAACCGCTGGAACCATTAGTTCTTTCTTTATTCTGTATTGGGAATAAATTCTACTTGCTTTATGGTGACTTTATATATATAAATATATAACGTGTTTTTTAATTTCTAAGCTAATGGTTGCAAAATGATTTTCCTTTTCTTTTTCATTTGGGTTCTTTCACCTCCGACCCCCACTAATTTGAGATAAATTTGTTTTTGATGTTGATGTTGGAGGACTTTTTTTTCTATCTACCATTATACAGAAGGTTTGGTATTAAAGTTGTGCCTGTGTATTCTTGCTCCTCAGTGCTGGACTGTTTGTAAATACTGCACGTATTGTTTAAAATTTGATTGTACAATTAAGAGAAAAAAATTCCATGAGAAAAACTGGTTACTAATTTCCAAATAAGCATGAATTTCAAACTGGTTAAATGAGAAAAACTACTGACTTGTGATATTTTTTATGCAATTAATTATTCTTTGCTTTGCATAATGAATTCCTGAAGGTATTACTGGCATAAAACCATATGGTATTGATATGCAAATTGGTGTTTGACTGGATCTAATTTGAGACATCTTAGATTGTTATCATCAAAGGAAATGTTATCACGTGCAAAAAGTGGCATAAAGAATGTTCAAAAACTTCTTTCCAAGTCTTATCACCAGGAATTCTGTCTATAAATATTTATTAAAGTTGTGTCTTGTAAATGCAGGAAGCTGCTAATTTTGCTGTTAAGAAACGGAGCTTGAAGCTTCGAGACCGAAAGTTGAAAATCTGTCATGCGAGAATCTGTCGTGCCAAAGCGGATGCCACCCCATCTAAAAGGCCAAACCCATCACCAGCTCCTAGTACCCCTGCAAAGAAGTTGGCTGTGGCTTCACGATCTCCTTCCAACAGTAATAACAAGTCAAACAAAAAAACTAATGCATCTTATCAAGGTCTGCGTGCAACCAAATCTGATATCAACAAGAAAGTTCATGGGAGAGAAAAACGAAAAGAGCGCATGACGAAAAGGGCAGCAGTAGCTGCGAAAAAGGCTAAAGCAAAATTGTTCAAGGATGGTGGTACACCAAAACAAGCAGGGGTAAAACGCAAGCTTGATAGGCGTACTCCAGATAGCTCCCTACGAAATAAGAAGGGTGGTACACCAAAACAAGCAGGGGTAAAACGCAAGCTTGATAGTCGTACTCCAGATAGCTCCCTACGAAATAAGAAGGCCAAGAAGAATAACAGATAGCGTGTTCCTAATGGTATCAGGCCAAGAACGTCTGATGCTTTATGTCTCAAAGATGATTCCTGCATCTGATAAGGGTAGGTTCTATGCTTTTGGCAGCATCTTTTCAGGGAAGGTTTCAACTGGTATGAAGGTCAAATTATGCGACCAAATTATGTCCCTGGGGAGAAGAAAAACCTGTATGTGAAGAGTGTTCAAAGAACTGTCATTTGGATGGGAAAGAATCAAGAAATCATTGATGATGTCCCTTGTGGAAATACAGCTGCCATGGTGGGTTTGGATCAATTTATTACCAAGAATGCTACTTTAACAAATGAGGGATATGTAATAATATAATATAGGATGCTTTTATTGGGATTATATCTTTTGTTTTTTTTTCAAGCCATACTTATTCTATTTTATTTTATTTAAAATAAATAGTACAATATAGGCCGGCCTTTAAGTTCAATGAAACTGGAGTGCAGGCTTTCCCACAGATGGTATTTGATCACTGGAATATGGTTCCATCTGATCCACTGGAACCTGGGACACCTGCTGCTGCATATGTTGCTGTGATTCGGAAGATGAAAGGCTTGAAGGAACAAATGATGCCTCTCTGAGTTCGAGGACAGGCTTTGAAGTATCAATAAGCCTTAAATAAAACTAACGTTGTATGTTTGTAATTGTAGTTTTATATTTCAGTTTGCTACTTCTCTTGTTGTTATCTTAATGTCAATTTCGGTAGTCTTCTAATTTCTTTTCCGGAAAAAAAAAAAATATTATTACTGGTAAAAAAAATATTTTCAGTATAAGAATGATTAATAATTAAGGTAACAAATTTACTATTAAACTAAAAAAGAATTAAGAATTTCTTTAATAAATTTTATATTTTCCCCCCAATATGTGCTTATAATAAGATGTATGTGGTTCATTTCACAAAAAAAAAAAAAAAAAAAGAGAGAAGTAAAGAAGGCATTTTGGAGAACCTTAACATCCATACTTCAACAAAAACATGAGTTCCAAAACCAATGCTGCCAGGCAATTTGAAGAACAAGTAGTCATCATTATTGTCATGCCATATTGGCCTGTTATCGAGTCACTTAAATTCAATGAATCACTGAGGGCTCAAACTGGAGGATAAGCTTTCCCACAGTTGGTATTTGACCATTGGGATATGGTGCCATCTGATCCATTGGAACCTGGTACACCTGCTGCTGCACTTGTTGCTGAGATAAGAAAGAAGAAAGGCTTGAAGGAACAAATGATGCCTCTATCTGTGTTTGAGGAAAGGCTTTGAAGTATCAATAAGTTTAGGAACAAATTTTGAATATATATATATCAATAACATTCGTTTACTGTTTTTCCTTTTTTTTTTTTTCAAACTGTATAAGGACTGAAACCTTATGTTGCAAAGATTTTAAATGTAATGGTACTGTCCTATACTCTATCAATAGTTTTTCTTTTTCTTTTTTCTTTTTATTATACAATTTTATATTTCAATTTTGCATCTTGTTTCCCCCTCATTGATTAGATTTTGGGAGCGAGTTCTCCCAACTTTTTGTATGACAAGTACCTTAAGAAATATATTTAAAATACTTGAAGCTTTAGTATAATAACCTCACTTTTACTCAAATATATGGACCAGAGAATCAAGGCATACTCAAAGAAAATGAAATTCTAAATCACCAAGACCAATTTTTTCAGAGAAAATATATTTACAACTTCATTCGCAGAACCTCAAAAATAGACAGATGTTGGAGACCCTGCTGCATATCTAATTTTGTAGAAGATAGCTCCTACTTGGAAATTGCCAAACATCATGAAATGTGCATGCAATCAGCATATGGTGCTAGTCAACCTCCTACTGGATCAGATCAACAGATCAGTCCAATTTGCTGTTAGAGCAGTTAAAGACGTCTTCTGAGAATCAATAGAAAATCAAAATCTTGATATAACCTGCAAATTCAAATGCTCTTTTTTAAGTTCACAGGAATACTCCTCTAAGTCAAAACAGCATATAAAACAAAGGTGAGAATAGGATCCACAGTGAATCACGGATATTGAATGGTCAACTACCACAAGACTAGATGACCTGATTATGACAAGTTGCATAACATAGCAGAATGAACTTGCCTCAGTTATCAGTGGCTTTGCATGTTCTTCCCATTCAGTAGCCCACCTTGCAGAAGAACCAGTTTCTAATGCACCATATTTGAGGACCTTCAAAGCATCACATTCATCAGGAAATCCCTTGAGGAGCATCTGTGTAGATTCAGCAAGACAGCAAATTAGTATGCTCAAGATTAGACATTTAGACTGTCTACCTTATGAATCAAGAATTTTTAACAGATAAAACAATCTGGAAAAAGTAATCCACATGTCAAATTGGGGAGTGGAAGATATAATGTCAATCTGCATCTAATATCTTTATGGATCACAAGAATGGAAAAACTCAAAGCCAACAAATGGCTAAGAGTGATCATTTTAGTGTCTTTAATAATATCTTTCATAATTCATACAACCATGATGAGTGGTTCAGTTGGTAAATTGAGCTCTTGGTAGACAGCCTATACCTGCAGTGTAGGAATTTGAAACCCACTAGAAGCACCTTGTGGCCAGAGCCAAGTTGATACGTGGACAAATTGCACTTTTTGCACACAAGTTCTTAAAAGGGTATCATTTGTGTCTAGATGCTCTATCTTATGGTATCAAATTTGAGACAGCATATTCTACAAGAACAAGATACTAAGCATATAAAAATCAATAGGCTGTTCCTCACTCCGCGACCTTTTACAAAAATGTCCTTAAAAATACATGATATTGTAATGAACAACTCTGCTTATTATTGATGTCTCAAGTTCAAAGAGATTGTGCATTATCCAGCAAATATTGTACATGTAATCATTAACAAACTTACCAGAAGTTCATCGGCTAGCTCTGAAGATGTAGAGAAGAGAAGACCAATTTTGTCAACTCTAACTAGTTCTTTAATGCTTCAAGAAAGTAAAAAAAATTACCAATAAATGAAAAGAACATACTGTTGAATTTCAGAACAAATCACAAGCAAGTTTTGGAGGAAGTACATAGCATATACACTACATAGCTTACCAAGAGTATGAAACGGCACAAACAGGCAGTCCACATCCAAACATATCAACAACCTGGTGCAGTTAAAGCGGAAAAATTTAGAAATAAACAGAAAATGAATAAAGTGCCATAAGAAACCAAACCAAGATTTGACTTGAACTCCTCCCATGTGAAGAATTAACTGAAAAAAGAAAGGCTCAAACAGCTCAACGGGAAGAAACAGGAGCAGCCTTAACCCACTCAACAAAAAAGAATTAAGTTAGCCAGCACATGCATACAATTTACAAGAACTGGCACAAGACATTTTCTTAAGAATAATGAGGAATGGATCCAAAATTAGACTGAACATATAGAGATACTCTAATGAAGCACTCAAGCACATTATTTCAGAATAAAAAATAAGTTCTTTTGAAGATATAGTGAGGGAATTTCAAAAGTTTTATAACATAGGAATACCAACGTAAGCAACATGATATTTATTACAGTTTCATGGCTAAGAAGCTTATGGGTGCAATGTGGCTAAATGATACAAAAGATTACACATAGGAAGGTTATCAAAATAACAATGTAAAAAAAATTGCTAATAGCGTATCTTTGTTTGTACATTGACATATAACAATGGATACCTTCATGGGAAGGTCTAATCCCGATGATGAAGTATGCAAACAAACTCCTAGATCAGCCGATCCTGAAATTACCCAAAACTGTTAATATCAAATAATTCACCACAGTGCAAGACAATTTTTAAAATAAAAGAGAAAACAAAATACCTAGCAATAATGGATAATCTTCAGCAGATAGCCACATGGTACGAAATGCCACACGTTTAAGTTTCAATCTCTTTATTTTTGCCTCGTACTTTTCTTTTTCAGGACCTTTACCTTTTTCAATGAAGATCTCTTGTTAAAACATTCTAAACGATTCACAATATTTCAGAAGTATAAAACACAAATTATACCAGTAATGATGAATAACAATCTGGGATATAAACATTGTTTTCCATCGGATATTTCTTTCCAGATGACCTCCTCGTCTAATGAATCATCTTCACCTAATATAGCAGCAACACGTCTGTCATACATTACAGCAGCTTCCAAGAGAATGCCAAAATCTTCATCGGGAGTCCTGAAAGTGGCACAAACCACAGAAATAAATCACTCAAGTCTGGTAAAGTAGCCCGCTAATATAAATTGAGATTATCATAGTCAATAGAGAATTACTCTCTCTCTTTCTTTTTTGTTGTTCAGTTTTTTTCCCCCACAGAATATCAATCTAACTAACTTCATAATATGCATCAAAAAAAGGATGTGGCCATTGTTAAAAGAATAAAAAGCAAGCTTAACATAATTAATGAAAGTTAACTTTATCTCACATTGAAGCAGAAACTGTATCGTACCAAGGTTTACAACAAAGAAGAATACAAACAAGTAAAATTAAAACATGCATACCTACCATTTCAATGCTACCAAAGGATGCACTTCGTGAGGATGAACTTACCAGCTCGTACTGCTTACAACAAGTGCCGGCCTGTTTGGCTTCAAATATATGTTTGAACCAACCTCCGTTGTAAACACAGTCTCATTTTGGGGATGACTACCCATCAATGGATTTCCTTTAAGAAGCAAACACATTAAAAAGTAATATGCCAATGACTAAGAATAATATATATCTAGATTGTAAAACCTATCTTACCATTACTAACGCAGTCTCTTAGAAACAATATATTTGAACCTTTAGCTGACTCTCTTACTTAATTCCCCAGTTTTGAGCCAATTCATGCTGCATTGCTCTTGTTACACATAGAGAAGCATCTGCCATTTTTCCATAATGCTTCTCAAACCTAAATGGAGCCAAGAAAAATAATCCCATTAACAGCAACCTTGAAAAAGCAAAATCATTACAGACCAAAAAGAAAAATCTTCATTAACAAATGTAAAATTAAAAAAAGCTAAACTAATACCATTTATATAAAGAGACAAAATGACTATTTCTTCCCAGGGACAGTCCAAGTAGAGTATATCCAAAGTTATGCCAATCTATGACAAATGATGAATTCCTCAACCAGCTAGCCCATTTTACTGCCACCAGGGTTGGAACAGAAGGAGGATTCTACACAAACAAAGGAATGAGAAAAATGAAGCAAGAACTATGAAATCAAACTTGCTGCAAGCTCTGGTTGTTTTGCTTCATTTATCAAAGAATCATTACACAGTTAACCTCAACAGGAATCAGATAATAAATTATCCTTCAAAGCGTAGATTGCCTAAAATAATCTATGCAAGACACCAAAGTTAGGTACTAAATAATTTATCTTGTAGCCCAAACTGACCTAACACAAACTTCTAACTTTATTATTTATTTGGCATCTGGGATGCTTCTCAAACAAAGGCCACGGGTCCAAAACAACCATCCATTTTTCAGGTACATGTTTGGCAACATTAAGTCTAACTTAGGAAGAACAAGTAATATTGAATCAATCAAGTAAAACATAAAATTAGCTTAAATGTTGGGGAAGAAAAATAGGTAGAAGACATAAAAGGCTAACCTGGACAATAAAAATATCAGGAGAACTTATTTTTACACAAAGGAACCAAAGAAGCATGAAAAATTGAACCAAGGGCTTCAACAAAAGCATTATGGGTTGAAGTATCTTCGGTAAGCTTTGCCGGGCTGTTGGCCATTGCTTCTGAAAATTAGAAAATGTTCCAAAACTACATCAACTTTCATAAAGTATGAGGATAACTTGTCCTGAAAAGGTTAGTCCACTTACTTACCATTATGTAAAAATCAATAGATGGGTTGTCACGAAGTGCAGCATGGGGCTCCGAACCTGTTAGAAATTATTAAATAAGAAAAAATTTACTCATGCTATACGTGAAAATTAGTAATTAACTCCATCATTTCTGTACTAATAAAATCTAACTCTAATGATTCATTATAAAAAATTTGAAATCAGTAAAGGTACCTCCATATGCAACAATGTCTACCTTCAGGGAAGCCTGCAATGCCACATAGAAAAGCACTAGACTCATAAATAAGGATTAAATAGTGTAAAAAATACATAATGCTCATGCCTACATAAGAAAGAGTTGGACAGTAGGTTGGAGAATCAAAGGGGACAACAGAGAAGTCAATACCAGCTCAGTAGATGAGATAACAGCATATGAATAAAACTCAAATGTAAAAGGAAAGTTGTGAGGCAATTGGAACAAAAAGCTATACCCAGTTGAGCAAATCCCAAACAAAATTACATTTAGAATGAACATACATCAATAGTGCATAGCTAAACCAGCTAGGTCCAAAAACCAATAACCACTACTGTTAAATTAATCCTCAAGACCACACATAATACTATTATTAAATATCTAAAAGTAACCGCTGCCAGGTCAGGAGCTCTCAGTTGAACAAATAAAAACATGGAACATAACCACCAAGCATGTGAATTAACTCATAAAGGGTTGTTTCAGCTTAACCAGTAATCTCGAGTTCGAGTCCTTAGAAACGCAATTGTGTTAAACTTGATAGTATGAATTGATAGATGGGATAAGATATTCTATCTATATTTTTTCCATCCCTACCAATCTCCAACACCGTTGGATCAGAATCTGAAGATGTTGGAAATTGGTAGGCATGAGAAAAAAGTAGGTAGAATAACCTATTCCTTGATATATAACAAAAAAAATAAATAACATGGAATATATAACCTGAGCAAGCCTGGATTAAAATTCAAGAATCATGCTCATAAAAAGAGAACATCTATTACACCCAATACAGAACCCAGCCATCAAATAACAAGCAATCAGATTAAATATGAATTATGGTAAGGTCTTAATCCAAAGCATAAAAATCAATAGCATGATTGATTCTCCAATTAAAACTTGGAACAGAAGAATTATTACTATGATCCAGGCTCTGGCAAAATTACAACGAAGTCAAAATGGGGGGGTTACATCAATTCTGAGATTAAACAAAAATGAAAAATGAAAAAAAGAAAATAAATTAAATTAAATTAAATTATTACATGAAATTATAAAAAGAAAAACCTGTTTGGCGAGTGAAAGAGCGTGATACTGCATTCGAGGGCTGCGTCCAATGTCGCCCAAAACCACCACACACGCCCTTCCTCTTCTTCCTTCCTTATTTTCTTCGCTTTTCCCTTCGATTAACAAATTGAAATTGAAATTGAAATTGAAATTCAAAAAAAAAAAAACCCATTCAGGAAAATCCAATTTTCTCAATCGGAAACGATTTTCCGGGAAAATAGAAAAGAAAAGAAAATCTCACCAGCCATTTATCGTATCAATGGAAAATCAAATATTTTCGCAGTTGGTAGTGATGCAGAGTAGTCAATGAAGTAAAATTGAGGAGAGAAGACGAAGAAACGAAAGCCCGGGTTCGGGTCCGATCTAAACCCGACCCTGGAAGTGTTGATTTGACCCGAATTAAACTCGGGCCGGGTCAGTGGCGAAATTGTAATTTTTTGTCCATTTCATGGCCCTCTTTGAAACTGAAGCACTTCCTTCGCTTGAATACAGTATTTGAGAATTGAGTTTTTTTTAACATCAAAATTACACATGATGGAACGCAAACAGAATCAAACTCCACAAGGTTTGAAATTAACCAATAAAGTTTTTTATTTTTATTAATTATTTAATACATATTGTTGGCATTTACTATGATTCTGTGGGAAAATTTGCAGGCCAAACAGCACGAGTTTTGGTTGAATTTTTGGAGGTGGCTATTACTTGTGTTGTTTTTCTCAAAGGGGTTTATCCTTCAGGTTGATTCTTGCATACCCATTAATTTTATTTTATTTTTATTTCTGTTTGGTTGCTGGGAAAAAGAAAAAGCAATGATTTTGACTGCACAATGCACATTTTTAGTTCTTATTTATTTTATTTTATTTTATTTCTTTCTTCCTTTGATTTTGTAGTTCTTGGTTACTGAATTGTATAATTGATTAGAATTAATTTTTTATTAATTGGGTTTTTGGGTGTGGAAAAAGGTGCCTTTGAGAGGAGAAGGTATATGAATGTGGTGGTTCAAAGGGCTTTGCATCCTCAGCTTAGATATTACATACATGCTACTGTTTCAGGGCTTCTTCCATTTTTACAGAAGGTTGGTCTTGTTTGGTAATTTTATTTTCTTATTTTTGTTAACTCAACCTTGAATTAGTTGTTCTTCTTGTTGTTGTTTGCTTTTCAATGAGAAAATAACTCAAATGAGTATATATTCTGGTTGTTGTTTGGTAGTAGCAATGTAATATTGCTTCTTTGTCGTAAAATATAAACTTCATTAATAGTGTTAGGACTCATAATAACTTCTGAGTAATCTGGAGGTTCAGACTTCGAGCTTCTCTCATCCCCACTTACCTAGCATATATATTGTGCATAATTATTAAAAGAATTTCCGTGGCTTCACTATTGTGGACAAGCTTTTTCTTAAACTGGTTTTGAGCTACCCTGCTTTTTGGCTTAATGCATATATGTGTGTGTTTTGTTGAACACTTGTTCAACAAGACAGTACAATAGATTGCAGTCAATCTGTTGTTTTAAAGGTGCAATCATTTGCTAGAGACTAATCACTTCAATCTTTCAATTGGTTATATAGTATATTATGATAAGTTCCCTTGAATGCAACATTTGTTTCAATCAATGTATTTCCTTTCTTTTTGCCACACAAATTAGGAGATCTTTTGACTCCGGCAGCTGTTGATTTCCGTCCATCTAACGGCAGTAATTTAGTTAGAATTAATAATTAGTTAATTGATATAACTCAATAAACTATAACTGTTAGATGAACGGAAATCAATGGCTGAGATGAGAGTAAGAGCTCTTAGTCTTGCACTATAATCAAAAGATCCCTCTTGGTATAACAATGTAATTAAAAATTATATGTGATGATATTGTATGTTACAACCTACACCTAACTTAACACCTTGGAATCTTTGCTTTTTACTTGCTATTAATATTGACAAGAGTTCGGCTAATGGACAATATGCTTATTTATATAAGAAACAATTGAAGGTTGTGATATATTAGATTAGTCGTGTTTCTCTTGTCATCAATATCGAGAACTGTTATAAATACAAAAGTAAAAAAAAAAAAAAAAAAAAAAGCTCTGTGTTAAATCCCGACTAGCAAGGATAGGGGTGAAAGCAATCTTTGTATGCAACTTTACTCTTACATATTTGCAAAGAGGATATTTTCCAGATTCGAACCTGTGACCTTTCAGCTACAAAAGAGCAGCTTTACTACTACTCCTGGCTCGCTCTCTTTATAAATATAAAAGTAATTATAATGATATTATTGTACATATGTTTTATGTTAGGACAGATTTGCAGGGCAGATTTGTTTTTTATTTTTTCCCTTAAACTTAGCTCCTTTTAATCAGAAAGTAAATTATTCATTGCTGGGCCTATGGATCCAAGTTGATAACAGAATTGAGGATTCAATTAGAGGAGATAGAAAAGAAAAAGTTGCTAGGAGGGGGCTGTTATATAGAGGTGGACCATCATTCATATAGGTCTACATAATGTAAATACTTCATGTACATTGACAATCAATCAATAATATTCAAAATTCCATCTTTCAAGTTGTTATCTAAGCTCTCAATTTGGGAGACTTTTTTCTACTGCCATAACCCTTCATTGTTGACCAACTAGCCTTCATCGCTAGGTTCTCAGTGCCTTCATCATTGGGCTTCAAGTGCACATTTGTGGCTATAACATAGCTCAGCCATATCCTGTACCTAACCCATCGGAGCAAGGACACCCATTGATACCCACATCTCCAATTGGCCAACTCTCAGAGCCATGCTAAACATCTGTGCCTCCATGCGCATGTCGTCCTTCTGGCACGTGTAAGCCATGTGAAACCATCCAGCCGTCCATTTACCTTGTCATTGATTGGGCTTATTCTGTTTGTCAGCGTCTTTTGCTAGAAAATGGTCAGCAGCTCTAGAGTCAATAACCCATGATTCACTAGAATTAGTACTAAAACCATGAAAGGACTAAGAGCAGAGGTTATTACTAGTCACTCAAAAAAGGTGGAAACATGTCCAAGGAGACATGTGTCGATGCTGATTATGCAAGATCAGTTATTGAAAGAAGTTTTTTTGTCAGAATTTAGTAACATAGAAGAGTAAGAAACAAAATATGGTTGGTTGGTCAAGTGTAGAGGCAGAATTTTGAGTTATTTATGGCACAAGGGGTTTGTGAATTACTATTGTTGAAAATTATGTTAGATGATCTTAGGATAAAGTATCAAGGACCTATGAAGTTGTTCTATGATAATAAATCCATCATTAGTGTTGCTTATAATCTGGTTCAGCATTATAGAACAAAACACATTGAGATTGATCATTACTTCATCAAGGAAAAATTGAATAGGGGCTGATTACTATTCCAAATATTCCTTGAAGACTTCAAATAGCATATGTGTTGACTAAATGGCTGTCCACAGAGAGGTTTCAATACCTCAGTAGTAAGCTGAGAATGATAGATATTTATTCACCAACTTGGTGAGAGCGTTGTAAATATAAAAGAAATAATGTAATTATTGTAGATTTTCTTTTATGTTAGGTTCAATTTGTAGGGCAGATTTGTTTCTTGTTTGTTTCCTTAGATTTAGCTCCGTTTTTAGGAAAGTAATTATTCATATAGGTCTATATAATGTGAATACTTTCTGTATATTGACAAGGAATCAATCAATAATATTCAGAATTACATCTTTCAATTAGAACTATGTTTCATATGTCATGTTCTATAACACTGCATAGAAGATATACAGCATCTTTTTTTGCTTTAAAATTTTTGCAGTAATTGTGTTGATTCTCTAGTGATTAGGCTGTAAGTTAGCTTCTAATTACCTCCATTCGTTGATTCTAGTCAAGGTTTAAATTAGAGATCAAGTATGCTGCTCATAAACACAATTTCTCTCAAACACACTTTGTTTCAACAGGATTCATTAAATAATTACTTGTGATTCTTCTCAGAGATATGTGATGTTGGGTAATTTTTTTGCAGAATATTTAAATAAGTCAATAGATGACTGAAGGTCCACTATCCTATACAAAAGCACACCTCCTTGTCACATCCAACTTTCCTTGCAACTGCTTTCTTTTGGCATGCTGATTTTTATCCATTACCTTCCATTTACTAGGGAATGGTGGAAAGAGTAGCTGTTATTTTCTTCAATGCTGACAATGTTCCACTGGAGAAATTTGTATTCAAGCTTGCAATGAATCAGTCTTATGGTTCAGCGGTGGAAGAGTTTGGTCTTGAGTCCTCTCTCAGATCATTCCTGGTCAAGCTGTCAATCTCAGAATCTCTTACTAAGAAGCTTCCTCCCGGTAAAAGCAAGTATAGTCATGCTGCAAAGAATCCTGTTTCTCTTTTCCTTGTTTTCTTTTTTGACTTCATCCTTTGCTCTTATTGTTGTAAAGTTGTAATAATCCTTCACTCTTACACAAATGACCATGCATGTGTGCACATTCACATGCCCTTATCTTGTCATCATTTTTAGTTCATATAGATTGCTAGTTTTGAATTGAAGAGAACAAGCCTGGAGTAGTGATAAAGCTGCTCCTTTGTGACTAAAAGATTACGGGTTTGAATCCAGAAAACAGTCTCTTTGCAAATATGTAAAAGTAATGCTGCATACTTGCCCTTGCCCCTACTCTCGCTAGTTGGGGTTTTTAATGGGGAGTGGTTTATTTTTATAGATGGCTAGTTTTGAATCAAGTAGCAGTGGTTTAGTGCTTTTGTCTTTGATACATTTGCTGAATGTTGTTCTTTGGTATAGACCAAAACCCAGGTCTAAACTTTTTATTTCTTCTCTAAACAGGTTGCAGTTGGGAGATTACTGCTTATTTTCGATCCCTTCCTGAGACTGGTACAAGCAAAGAAGCAGACTTGTGGACCTCAACTGACACAAAGCAGTGGCAGCAGCCTCCACTTATAACCCCTATCAAGTCAATGAGTAGTGAACCTCTGTGTTTGCAATTGTACTTGGAGCATCCAAGTTTATCGGAAACGATGCATTGAGAAGGAACTCAAAGTTGTAGTACATATATAAACATGTATGGTAAGAAAGCCGAACCATTTTTTATTAGAATTTCATATCTGAATGTTTTTTTATTTCAATGTTTTTTCTTCATTACATAATCAGCAAAAATAGGTATACATGTTTCTGTAAACATGTTTTTAGAGCAAGTATAGAGCAGTAGTAAAATTGTTCCTTTGTGACTGAAAAGTCACGAATTCAAATTTAAGAAACAGTCTCTTTATAATTATGAAAGGATAAGGTTGAATATAAGAATTACTCACTCCATCCTCGCTAATCAGAGTTTAATAGAAAGTGGTTTTTATCTTCGGCTTGAATGGTTGGTATCTTATGTTGGAATTTAACAATATATTATTTAAATGGAAGATTATGAAGGTACATTATTAAATGAGAATGATATAAATTAGGTTTTGTTTGGCCATTTTTAAATTCAAAGTAAAATTAAAAGATGTAAATTAAAAAAAAAAAAGGCAAAAACATTTAAAATCATAAGGGAGATATACATAATTAATAATTATAGAGTACTGGTGTTCAACTAAGAGTAGATCTTGAACAATTTCAAGGACGCATTCCTCATATAAATTTGATAGACATAGAAGAATAAATTTTCTCGTGGGCTGGGCCAGTTGGCCCAGGGTTGAAACCTGAATAAATAAATTAAAACAAGGCACACCTCTTTTATAGACAAGGCCAACCAACACAAGATATGACCCATGGGCCAGTCATTTAGGAGCCATTTTGACAAGAGTATGTTACCTTTTAAACAGTGGAGGTTAAAGGAATTTTTCTGAAAGAAGGCAAATTGTATATACTTTAAAATTTTAAAATTAAAAAAAAAATGCAACTTAATCCTTAATATGATTTAAAATGTTTCAATACTAAGGTTGTAGGTGTACTGTATACTGTTTCTAGACATTCTAAAGCTACTTTTGATTATACAGAAAGATCACGTTATCTCATTAGGTACATCTGTTTGCACATGCAATGGTCATTTTTTGGGACTAGTGGTTAGAAAGCATGTTCTCAAACTCTGGCTATTTACAAGCATTAGCGGCATGCATTTACATGCTCACTTTTTGGTGTGTTTTGAAGGTGTGAGAGAGAAGATTGTAGTAATGTACTTTATGGATGGAAATTGGACAATGTAGAAGCACCATGATTAATGTTTTATTTTTTTATTGGTCATTTTTACTTTAGACTTCATAATCACGTAGTTTTAATTGGTATTATCTGCTACCTCAGCCACTTTTTCATGCTTATTGGGTAACATTATTGCACCGTTTTCTCTCATTTTCAACGATTTTTCTTGGTCTGTCTCATTTGTTCAACCATAATGGTATTTTTAAAATGTTTGAGCTGAATAATGGTTCTTCTAAATATTAAACTTTTTGTTATATACATTCTCCTCTAAATAATATAATACGTGTTAAAAAGAGCCCATTCAATGAATCCAACAGTTGAGGTTTTTACATAGGGATTCAATAATGATATTCATACCGAACATACACCCAAAAAAATAGACATTAATGGATTTTAAAAGATGCAAAGTTGAAAATTATTGGTTGTAACAACTGTAGACATATGATATATATGAATAATTTAGTGTATGGGTCTTTAAGGTTATTCTTTTTAATCGAAAAATTACGGGTTCGAATACGAGAAATAATATTTTTATAAAAATATAAAGACAAAGCTATATACAATTGACCTTTTACCATAACCGTCACAAGTTGAGGAGTCTTCTCATTATCAAATCTAACATATCAATAATCAACACTTCATCTATTAAGCTTATGCAAGTTGCATAACTATATATTATAACATGAATCTTATACTAAAACATGAACAAGCAGTCACTAGATGGCATACTCTCTTTAAGCTCTTGTCACAGCATCTTTTAGGCTATTAGCCACTTTTTATGAAACACTTTAAGAAAGAAGGCCATTAGCACGTGACTAGTTCAAATCAAATGAAGACCTTTGTTTTTCCTTTTTGGGTTTCTTTTCCTTTTAACTATGTAAGAATTGGAAAAGACACTCCTGTTTAAAGGAGCAACATCAACTTAAGAGATAGATCTCAGAATATATATTTTTTTGGATAACATATATAGATCTCAGAATATGACTATATTAGTTTCCACTTGGAATATTATTTGAAGAACATTGATAGATAAGCTACTAAGCAAACGAATCCGGTTTTATGAATTGTCTCTTAACTAGGGACTCCTTTATGTTCTATGCTTTAGTGGATTTGTGGTCATTCAAATTCTTCCACTTTGTATCCTGATATGATACTTCATTGAATAAAGGTGCTACTTTATTCCTTCCTTCTAGCAATTTTTTGAACTTGGTATATTTTTTTAGTGCATCAAGTGTCCATCATTATAATTTATTTATTTATTTGAGAACCCTTTAACTTCACATATATAATAGTTCATGCACCCAATTTAACAGATGAATTGACCTCACATTCAATGTGGGGCATCCAAAAGTATTTGGAAATTTAAATCCATAGCCATCAATTTAGGTGATATATTTGCTCAAGTTATCATTTTATATTGAATTATGACATGTCTAAGTTGTATAGTACATATATACATATACCACGAAAGCTTCTACAGTACCAAAGTGGACCTCATCAAATGGTCACATAGATACCTATCCATCCTAGACAGAAAATCTTCTAAGGAACAATGATTTGTCTCTTATGATTATTTTAGTAGCCAACAAGTATTTAACTTCACAAAAAAACTTTGGGACATTAAATTTTTTTGGGGAAAAGTAGATATTAAAACTTCTGATTGTGTGGTGAAAAAAGGATAGAGCAAGAACTTCTCTGATGAAGATGTCAGATACTACACATGCAGAGTGCTATCACTCCCATTATTAACACAAAAAAACAAGCTTCCACTTCACTCTCTGATTTGCTAATAACAAACCCAAATGGTTATTTTCTTTCTTCCCTGACTTTTCTTGCATGCACATCAGTGGTCCCACAATTTTAATTTTGTTCAATCAAAATCCCTATCAATTGTGGTTGGTCAGAACACACTTTAAGGCCTTTAATTATTTTCTCTCCTCAAGCAAACTTAAACAATGTAATTATTATTAGCCCCAGATTTTTCAATGGGAATAGAATTTTTGCTTTTATCATATCATTATCACTCTCTATCTTCTCAAATGCTCAAGTCCAAAATTCATGAACAAGGCAAAGGCAGTGTTTCATAAGGGTTATGCTACCCCAAAAGAAATTATTATTATTATTATTTGGCTAATGATCTACAATATTAAACTATAAGAATGGAAATAATGTCTCAAAGTCCACTGTTTTAATAAGGGTTACATATAATGCATTAATTATTTATTGGCTCTATTCATAAATGTCATTTTCAAGTTTCAAAGCATGTAAACCAATAAATAGGATACATAACTATAAGACACGCATTTCGACGCTTGTGCATTATGTATTCTTATGTGTCTGTAGCACACACTTGTCTGCTTCGCATGCATGTCCATGTTTTCGTTTTTTAGTTAACACTACTATCAAACAAGGGCCTCTATTTCAGCATCCCCATGTGTTGTCATTGTGCATCACTAATTAAACACCTACTTTGTATTTTACCACATTTTTCTTAGCACTCATTATTTTAAGGTATGTAATTATTCGAGGTTATCTTTAGACGTTAGTTTATAGGATTAGTATTTCTCGTCTTGTAGAAAATAATTTTATTTTTTATACACATATTCAACGTGGGACTATGCCAAAAAAAGATAAATAAAAAAAACATAGACTCTATATATTTTTAGGTATGTATAAGAGATAAAATTATATCCTACAATTTTTTGTGTTTCAATTAAAGTTAGTGGTCCATTTCATTTACAACTTTCTCTATTAAGATTTTTTTTTTCCAATTTGTATCTCAGACATATTAAGGGCGGTAGAAACAACAAATTATGAATTGCTAGTTTGTGGCAATAAATTATTCAATAGAGAGGTCAACAATGATCTGCAGCTACATTTAATTTTATGCGTATGTATCATTATTTATTGCTAGGATATCATCTCACCTATATAACATCAATGAATGATAAGCACATGGAGAGTGTTAACCTCATACTACACATTGTGTGATGACAAGGTGGGGGCAAGTCTAAGTTGTGCAGTCACTATCTGTTATTCCATTATAAGCCTAATAGAGTAAGATATTATCAAAACAAGGACATTGCTTGATCAAATAGGTCAGATTGTTATTGCCCTTCAAGTGGATCCTAGTGTTATTGAGGCCCAACACATTAAATCACACATGTCCTTCTTTTGTGCAATATGGACCTATTTGTTTTGTCAGAAGTACAATAAACTAACATTTTAGGTTGGGAGATATCATTAGAAGCTTCAAGTGGCAACCGGGTAGTTGATAGACTAGACCTCAATTATGGGGTAAGTAAAAGTGATGGCAATTGAAAATATTATTGGCTCTGCTAGAAGACAATTCCAAGAAGGACTATGCTTGTCACATAATTGTGACATACTATGTATCTCATATTGTAGGGCATCCCACTAGGGCCAACTAAAGAAAACCACAAAAATATTACCAATATCAAAATTAAGGGTCTAGTTCTATAATGTTGTTAAGATAGGATTGGAACATGAAACACGCTACTATTTTAGTCCCATAGGCACCAAGAATAGTATGCCTGCCATCCAAGTCTGAATTAAAGGGGTGACTATGATATTGCATTAGATGTAACCTTTTTGTCTTTCCATTGATCCTCCACTAAATTATTGAATTATGAATTGATTGGACATGTTAATAGTGGAAAGAACATTGAGGAGACAATCCTTAAGAGTGAACAAATTATAATCCCTCTTTTTAAAGGATGGGGGAAAAGGAGAAACTGATGGTGCGCCTGTTATTTGACTTAATTATGGTTTTAACTCTTTTATTTTTTACTCCAAGAAAAAGAAAGAGTGAAAAACACAAGCTTGAGTGATTGTTGAAAACCTATAATAGGAATCTACCAGAGTTATACTAAAAAATTGGAGTGTCAATTCCAACAACAACAAAATTTATGGTCCATTATCAGTGTGGGCCTGACCTTCCTCATTCGCCAGAAGCATTGTGGG